TTTGTTTATCTAAAAGTTTGTTTTGTTTGTTTGTTTTGTTTTTAATTATGTACAAAGCTACACAAGCGCTATCTGTGCTCTGCCCACCACGGGTATCGAAACACGGTTTCTAGCGTTGTAAGTCCGCAGACATACCGCTGTGCCACTGTGGGGCTTATCTAAAAGGGTTTATATATGTGAAATACGCGATTGATAATTATTTCAAGTGAAAAAGTAACGTTTTGCTGTGGAACTGTTTGTTAGTGTATACAGCCAAATGAAGAGAAATAATTATATGGAACTATTTGCCAGTATATGCAACCAAATTATGAGAAATAATAAAATAGCACTAAATTTTATAAATAGTTTATTCATGGACATGGTCCTGAAGTGAGAAGTAAAATCAATGTTCCAATGCAGTGTTTTACACTAGTGTTTATCGATTTCTTGAATAACCATATAGCATTTGGAAGTTTATAAACAACAGTAAAGGAGGGAGGAAGGGGTCCGAGTAAACCTGACCCTCCCAAGTCGTACACAACGACCAAACGCCGACAAATTGAAAGCGGGTTTCCATAACTAGGTGGGCAGAATACAACTCATTGTGTAGCTTTGCATTAACAACAAACAAAATTCTATCCAGTAAATAAAAAAACCATTAGAAACTATTTTTGGTCGATTTGCTTATGATTCAATATAAGGCTAGCTAAACGCATGAAAAAGTTAACGCAGAATAGATTAAATCTCAAGAGAAATATGCGGATAAATCACCTTAGTAAACAGCTTTTCTTTTAACTGATATTTAAATCAAATTCTTCTTTTTTGTTTCAAACATTTACGGGTCCCCAGTGGTTCAACGTTACGTTTGATCGCTCATAACGCTAAATACCGTGGCGTTATGAGATACATGCCAATAATACCGTTAATAATTTTTAATAATTAAAAGACGCCAACTTTCGCGAGCAGATGCAACATGTCTCCACCACACAATACCAGCATGGCCAATTTGGACACCAGAAAAATCAAAAAGTGCTTACATCATAGCGTGGGACCTGCAAGAAGGTATTTTTTCACCAAATCCCATGCAGACTGGTCATAGTATGGCCGAGTAATTGACCAAAAACCTCAAAATTATGCTTTTTTGTGAGATCTGACCACCCCTCTAAATTAATTCAAAAATAACCAATCCAACTTTTTTGTATGTCAGTGTATTGGATGCATGAAAATTTATATTTGTGTCAATTTTGATCTTGATTGTTGTAAATATGACCTCACAGGGGCTCATAATATACGTTTTGGGGTTCTTTGACATTTGACCCCATAAAATCCTTAAACAAAAAAAAGGTCTAAATCGATAAAATGAAAAAAGGTGTCCAGGCTTATTGGACCAAAGTATAACCCTACAATTTTCAAGTCAATCTGCCAAGAAATGAAGGAATTGCGGTCGATCGAAAAGTGTTTGGAAGAAGAAGAAACCACAGACAAACAGCATGTCTCTCTACGGAGACATAAATATATTGTGTGCTGCATGCCTAGCCATCCTGATAATCTCTGTTATTTAATGTCAGGCTTGGTCAGCAGTGTGAGATCGATATGTTGTGGTTGGCACAGCAAAGATAACCAATTGTGTAGCTTTGCGCTTAACAGCAAACAAGTATTTACGTGATATTATGTAAAGGGCGTTTGTTCAGACCTGTTGAATTACTTCGCCAAGGTGGTTTTGTTTTTGTACAAATTTCCCCCTGCATTGAGACACATTTACGTAAAAAAACGAATTAAAAATTGTTTTTTCTTTCGAGGTTTAATATTCTTTTCATGTTAAAACCAATATTTTAATAATTTCGAGTTACGAAACCTGGATAGATAACGAATGTCTACGCCCATGAAATATTGGGAACAAAATCTTGAGTTGATATATTGAGTAAAGCATTTACATTTAATTTGTATTAGCCACAATCGAAGCAGGTTTTGTTTCTTAATAATGGGGAAGTATGAAAGGAAATTCCTTTACACGACATTCTTCCTTTACATCTGAATCCGAGCAAAACTTTACAATTATACATTAATGTCCAGCATCACTTCTACTTGTCCAGACAAGTTACAAGTTTCCATATAGTTTTCTCTTAAGAACTCGTAATATGCTTTTCTAAATGGTACCTGAGATATATTGTTATCTAAAGTTGCTAATCAATACCATGGTATAGGTGTTGAGATAAAATTTAGACTTTGATCATTTATAAATTACTGGGGCGATATGTTGATTAACTAGATGCGACGAGTTGCTATTGGGTGCGTTCGTTAATAACCAGTTACGAAACGTGTTAGTACAGTTAGCTCTCTTGTTCTTTAATTCTTGTGAGGAAACGAGACTTGTTCGTTAATTTCCAGTTTTGTCACTTTTTAAACTTAGTAACTTCACGAAACTCACTATCTTTGGTGGTGGTCCTGTTTCATTTCGCGCAGGAAATGTAGAATGGCGCATGTACAGCAAGAAAATGTACATGCCGAATGTTCTTTGTGTGACTACACAAACATGTATTTGCAAGTCCTCTTACATATGGAATCATGTACCGACTAAAAAACCAGACTAGGCATTAATGAGAAATATACTAAACGGTAAGGATATGTTACTATGCTAATATGCCTATGGATATGGTGGAAAAAGTAATTTTAACGAAAGGCTTGATATTAAAGGCTGGCTTTGAGTTTTTGATAGTTTATTGCAGCGTTTGACAAACTTTTGTCATCCACGCTCGACCCTTTAATAAATATGTTTCTTCCACCCCTCTTTGTTTAAATGAGTGAAAGAGTGAGTTAAGTGACGAAATATATTACAAGGATACACATTAAAATTATATATGTGTTGTAGTAATTACTTATTATTTTCATTAATAAAAAATGTATTAAAACGCTTAATTTTGCATTACTGACTTTATCCTAATCACCCACCCCAAGAGAACATTTGCGCTTCTTAGGGGGTACGCCCCACACTTTGGGAAAGGCTGGCTTAATGGATGGGACAGCCTAGGAATCAAGAGGTCCCATATTGTCCTTTAAATGCTATTGTTACATCTCCGTTCGTTAGTTAATTTTCCGTAAATTCGTTCCGACGAAACTTTAGCGACACAAGTCCTTTCTTAAATAAAACTGGTTTATTCTTTCCGAATACAACTTTACAATACACTTAATTTCAACAGTCGCTCTATAACAAACGCTATAATTCTCAACGAACGTCTCACGTGCCCAACAACATTCTCTCTGTCAGCATACATTCAATTACTCATCCTCCCCGTCGCTTCGTGGCCAGTCTTATATATATACAAGACTACACTATATCTAGAAGGATCACGAGATTTAAGGAAAGGACGTGAATGTTCGAGAACGAGTGGCGTGATACTAGTCACGTGATCTCGATGTCGTAACACTATGTATTATTATACCTTAGAATGCTAACACTTCATCCAAACTGATTATAAATAATGTTGAGTTAATAAAGCTGTTTTAAAAATTGACTACATTTTAATCTTTATAATGTAGAGTTCTTTTTTTTTTACCTTAAATTGTAGTTTGTAGATACTGAATTATTGTTTGCAGATTAATCTTTATATGCCAGTTTATGCGACTTTTACTGATGGTTTACTGTTTTTATTATTTCCTATAATTATTCACTTGTCGTTTTTCCACTTATGTTGTATTAGATTTTTATCATTAACTGTTGTTTGTTTGTAGTTAAGCCCAAAGCTACACAATGGGCTATCTGTGCTCTGCCTACCACGAGTATGGAAACTTGGTTTCTAGCGTTGTAAGTCCACAGACATACCGCTGTGCTACTGGGGGCTTATCATTAGTTCTTGTGCTAATCATATTAGGTCAGAAGTTCATGTTTAATAATTATTAACACAACTTTTCATTTATATCATAGTATCACATTTTGGGTATAGTTTTAGTTATTTATCAAATTGTTTAAAAGTTAGGAGCAATAAACCAGGTTTTTTATATGGTTGAAGTAAAATTGTAAATGGTCTATGTGTTTACTTAAATTGTTTTTTGTGTGTGTGTGTGTGTGTGTGTGCAGAAAATGATCAGAATAGTCATCCATTTTTCTGGACAAGAGATATTACTCTTCTCCTCATATGTGAATGCAGAGAAAGAGCAGAGCAATTTAATTCACCAGCAGTAAGGATAGTCTGGCAATTACTATGAATCTCGTAGATGCTACAAAGTGTCACTGCTGCAATGTGAAAACAAATGGAAACACTTAATAAATACCTACATAAAAGTAAAAGACAATAACACTAGTTAGGAGCAGGTCGGAGAGATGGTCAGTTTTACAATGAACTGGATCAGCACCATAATAAAGACCACCATATCATATGAGTGACTGTGGCAGCAAGTGGGAAAGTCACCACTACTCTTGAACACAAACAAACAAATATATATATAGGTACTTGCCATCAACTTCAGTTAATAGCACTTCCCTAACTGAAGCCTCTCCTGCCTATGAAGATTTTACATTTGAAATAGAAGAACAGCCATAACAATTTACTCCAAGGCTAAAAAAAACGAAAACGCATTGATCCAGAAGATGAACCAGCTTCGTTTAACGTATAGGGAGGGAGTAGAGAAAAAAGACATGAAGATTACATGAAACTCTAGAAAAAGTAGTTACAAGAAGCAAATGAAATATTCAAAAATTTAAAGACATATCTGATATCTTCAATTAACAAAGATTGGATGTTTGTAAATACATGTAAGTGAACATGAAAATAAATATTTGTAAGTAAAGGTTATTTGAAATCTAATTTTTTTTTTCACAGAACTGTAATAACGTTTGAAACGGATAAAGCAAATACACAAAATGATTACTGAATGAAAAAAATGTTCAATTTCGTAACTCTAATTCATTAAAACATTTTAAATGTGGTCACACTTTATAACTGCCGCTGTTCTGTTGTGGCTAGAATATGGTGATTCTTGATGAGGAGCTGTTTCCCAGCTGCTTTCTTGATTTATGTAAACATCTACATCACATTCATTGACCAGTCATATGTAGTACATAAAAGGCCAAAATGCAGACTGGGGCAAAATCTGTTCTTTTCATATCCAAATATTTCCACCTCCTGAATCGTCCTTTGAGAAATGTAAAAGTATGTTCAGTTGAGGATCTTGTAACTGAAAGTGCATAATTGTTTTTTTTTTCTTTCTTGTTAAGTGACCATTTTCTTTGTATGCAGTCATTAGCCATGTCTGAAAGGGTATGCTGGGTCCCCAAAAATATATGAATCAGCAGGAAACAATTCATGTTGTGAGGTTCTAGCCTTCTTGAATAATAGAAATTCCACAACTTGGATCTTGTATTGGTCTTACAAAAAACATAAAAATAAATCTGTAAATGTTAACTGTGGTCACACACAGTTTGCAATACTATTGAAGAGAAACCTTTGCAATTGTAATATGAAAATTGCAATCCTTTGGTTTTTTTATTGGGATGTGAGTGCCATCAGTTGTGCCAACCACTCGTGGTAAATTAAGAATTTCCTGGTAGTCTTCAATGTTTTGAGAACATAAGAAATATAAAATATTTGATCAGAAAAGACATAAAATAATCATGTCATTTTTATTGTACTAAATAAATGTTATTTGGTTTAAATATTATTAAATGGAAACAGTAACTCTTACCATTCACATAATTTCAATCCAAAAGTATTGATAGAAAATACTACATTCAAGTTGTTTCTTAAAACCTAAAAAACAGAAAAAATTATTACGATACAGATGTTGAATGGACAATTGAGAATAAAACTGTGTAAATGCTTTCACTAAAATTGTATACAAGATGTAACAAACTAGTTTTAATTATGTTAATAAATTTTCAATGGCAACCGAGGCAAAGGGGCAAATAAATAGCGCGACGAAGGAGAAATCGCGTTCATTTCGTGCACTTAACTCGTATTCGTAAGGATTATTTGTGTTTGTGACGATATTTTGTTGTTACAAACCTGTAAATATGGTGAAGAGTTGTTGTGCATTCAATATCCCCAATAAACAGTCGAAAACAAGTCATTCTATTTGGGCCCGGCATGGCCAGGTGGTTAGGGCGATCGACTCACAATATGCGAGTTGCGGGTTCGAATCCCCATCACATCAAACATGCTCGCCCTTTCAGCCCTAGTGAAGTTATAATGTAACGGTCAATACCACTATTCATTGGTAAAAGAGTAGCCCAAGAGTTGGAGGTGGGTGGTGATGACTATCTGCCTTCCCTCTAGTCTTACACTGTTTAATTAGGGACAATGCAGATAGCGCAGATAGCCCTCGTGTAGTTTTGCGCGAAAGTCAAAACAAACAAACAAAACAACCATTCTATTTGATACCCAGTCAAGCAACTGAAAAGGAGAGAAGAGTGTTATGGCTGAAAGTTATTAACCGCGAAACACAGGAAGCAAGAGAAAAGCTGTGGGAGCGAAAGTTTATCTATAATTCAAAAATTAAACGAGCCTTACGTAGAAGTTTGATTGTAATTTTATGATGATCATAGTTTGAGATGGAGTGACGTAGCTAATTGATTGTTCAGGTTAGGTTGTAGGTTACGAACTAGGAGTGGTTACTTTTTTCTTAGCGTCTACTCATCTATTATTCTGAAGTGTTCACTGTTCTGTTTTTCGTTACAATCTTTGCTTAAGTGGTTGTAAGTTCCAGAGATATTTAAAGGGCTATTATGCGCATGCTCCTTAATTATCGCCTGCTATTGAATGATTATGGTGTGATATTATTATCATGTGGCGTGATACTGAAAGCAATAGAGATTATTGAAAACACAGTCCAAGCATTAGTTGCGCTGGTAAACAAATCACTAACACGCAAATTTACTGGTGTCGTATAAAACAAGTTTGCTTACTCAGACTTCGGGCTTTTCGAAAAATTGTTATAATTTCGTCAAAGTATTTATTTGTATATTTATCGCAAGATGCTAATGCTGGACGCAAATCGTTCTCTTATCCTCGTCACCACTACATGGCTGTGTCTTCTCAATAAGTTGAGTACATCGAGTAAGTACTAATGTACTATGTTTCTTAAAACTGAATCTGAGTTTCAATATTAATTGAAATTAAGCTATTTATTTCAGGAAATATGAGACAATAATTTGACGGTATCAGGCTCTTAGAAATGAGCCGGGGGGGGGGGGGATATACTAGTCTCGTGCGTGTTCCTTAGGCCAATATAGAAAATTAAGGCATTTTGTTTGTGACACATATTTATTCATAAAAATTATCAGTCCTATTATTAATTGTAATAAGACTGATAATTGCTATTAATACATATATTTTGTGTGTTGCATGCTCAGCCGACCTGATGAGCTCTGCTATTGAGTGTAAGGCTTATTCAGCAGTAACGCGCAGCACACAGTGCGAGATCAAGATAATTGCTATGATCTTACTTGTAGCCAGTGTAGGCTAGCAAGAAAAAAAAATAAACGCATTCTGTTTTAATTTTATTGTGGTGTAATGTCACACAAACTGATAATATATAGATCACGCTTCAACGTCATAAGGCGTTATGTAACATAATAATTAAATCTTAAAGTCATACTTAACTATCTGAAATCTCTAAATAGTGGGTGACTAAACAACCGATTTAAGTAATTTGGGGATTCATCATCCATGTTCGTCCACGTTTGATACCATTGCGCCAGATTTCTTTAAGTTCATGCCTCTTACCATCGGAGGGGTATCACTGGTACCCTCTCCCATTTCTTCCTTCTCGCAATGGAACTGTAGATCTAGAAAAAAAAAAAATCCTTCCCCCCCCCTGATATTTTCTAAAACCAATAATAATGAACTACCAATTTATTTTAATCGGCCTAAATTTACGCTATATTGAGAATGTTACTGGATTCTACCTTTTCCTGTTTCGTCTAAATTACAGCTTCAGCCATGAATTACTAAAATATTACCTGATACGGTTATCGTGCAAACTTTTTATCAGATTCACCTTAAACATATTATAGGTTAATGACCAGAGATTATAGAACCCAGTGAATTTCTAATCATATTAGTATTGGCATGGGCTCTAAAATAAATTAATACTTTCAATGAATACATAACGTCATTTGGTTTACCTTATAATGTACATCTACAAAAATACTATAACCAAGTAAATATTGCTAAGCCTAATTACACCTTGTTTTAATCGATTTAGAACCATTTTTGGAAAATACGTTTGTTAGCGTTAATGTGAGAATTTTTCATAATAATTTCTTAAATTTATAGGAACGGTTCAAATAAACGACACCATTCAGATACATATTACTCCAACAGAAATTTCTAACTTCGAAATAAAATTTGATTGTCTTCTGGCTGGAGAAAAAGGATCACTACTTTTCTTTCAAACACAAGATGACCTGTTGGTTGTATCATTGATTATTCGAAACGGACAAATACAGTTAATCCCTTTTTGGAAATGTAAGTACTTTGCATATATAGGCACTATTCAACTTAGAGTACCAGGAATAATTTGAAATATAGACCTTTAAATACATACGATGTCCTGGTTTAAGTCTTTAGTTGTTAATTCTCTTTTTGTTTACGGTATCGTGATAAATCTCTGCTAGAACACATTTAAATACATACGATGTCTTAGTTTTAGTCTTTAGTTGTTTTTAAATGTGTTCTAGCAGAGATTTATCACAACACCGTAAAAAAAAGGAAATTTTGCAAACTAACATTAAGCTAATATAGAAGTTTTGTAAAAATTACACGACTCGATCCTAAGCTTTTAAGACACCAGTCGTTATATGTAATTTTGAGAAGGATATGAGTTTTTGAAGTAATTAAGTTCATAATAGAATAACTAGAAAGAATTTGTCAAAAAGTTCATAATCAATATTATTTTCATCACATTTGTTATAACTACACACATATGTAAAAATGCTTTCTTATACTAAATATAAAAATCACTTAAAATATTTGTTCATTAAATATTGAAAACATTTAAAGAAGTCTTCTTCACATCACTTATCAAGCATTTGATACACTGCGTAAATTTCGTAATAAAAAAGATGACGTGAAAATTTACATAAATATTATACTTAACTTCCAATGAGCTTATATAATAAAAGATATATGCAGTTATGAATATATTATAATTCTCAAATAGTCACAGAAGGCTTGGAATGAAAATTAAATCGTAGCATGTAAATAACGTTACTATTTATCAGCTACGATTGAATGGTTTTGAAACAGAACACGTACATTTCAGAGTTTTATTAAAGAAACAAAAGTAAAATACTTCACGATTAAGTAACATATTTTTGAATAATCAACTTCTGAATAAAGAATTGTTCAACTTCAACTTAATTATTGAATATTCTTACTTAATTATCAACAGTTTTTCTTTATCTTACAGGCGATTACGAAAAACAGAAATTGTGGCCTATGCTGAATATCAACGTTTCAGAGTTCAAAACCAATTATCTTTCAGTTTATCTTAAGTTCACAGCCTTTGAAAAGACTTTAATGGTAAACAATGCCAGTGTTTCGAAACCATGGTCGTTCATGAAATATGGAAATCCCAAAACTGAACAAATTAAGTTTGGTCAATTCGTGGGAACCCCTGATATGCAAATTTTTGAGAAAACTTTTTATCACCTTACCGGTCTTTCACATGGAGTTCCAAGTTGTTTAAGAAATCTTATGATAAATAAGAAGGGATACAAATTAAGCACTTGTATGACGGGTAAGTGAGGCTTTTAATTTAGGTTCATACAAAAGTGATTTGAATACAGTATGATTAAGTGCTAACTGTTAATGATCTGAATATAAAAGTGATCTGAATACAGGGATGATTATGGTGATAACTACTAATGATCTTAGAAACTACCTGTAGTGTAAAACTACTTGTAACATATTAAGAATATTTGTAATAACATTTGTAGCATATTTCTTAATGAAGTACACAATTATAGAAAATCACAAGTGCCTTTTATGATATATTCTCAGTTTTGTTGAAAGAAGTGATTAATTTAAGTATAATTTTAAATGCTGTTATTCAGTTGCTGCCTAATTTTCTTCAAATGTGGTAGATACATGTGTAATTTTAACATGTTTATATATATATATATAGTGGGTATAATATGCATATTTATATTACATATTTTTATGTTTATTCTCCCTTTACATTTATATGCTAGAGTAAAACAGAGCTCACCTTTACTAGTTTTTAAACAGTATGATATTATTTAAGGCAAAGGAACTTGAAGTGTGACTATAATCTTGTTTTTTTTTTAGTTGAGAAATATCTAAATACTCGTGTTTCTTTTTATTTCAGACAAAGAAGTCCCTTCATCTTCATGGTCTGTTTATGTTATAATTTGCCTAATACTTACTGTTTTATGTGTGCTTGGTTGCGTCCTTAAGAAGATTCTGAATAAAAAAGAGACTCAAAGGCAATCATATCATATCATTCATATAGGCTAAGAAAAAACGGCTCACATAAATAAAACTAGAATGTGGGAACGGGTTTTATTTTTCTATGATTTAATAATCCTGTCCAATGATTTTTAGTTTCCTTATACATATAGGAACAAATACTTTCTCACAACTGTCTGCTTTTGTTTGTTTGTTTTTGAATATCGCGCAAAGCTACACGAGGGCTATCTGCGCTAGCCGTCCCTAATTTAGCAGTGTAAGACTAGAGGGAAGGCAGCTAGTCATCGCCACCCACCGCCAACTCTTGGGCTATTCTTTTACCAACGAATAGTGGGATTGACCGTCACATTATAACGCCCCCACGGCTGAAAGGGCGAGCATGTTTGGTGGAGCTGGGATTCGAACCCGCGACCCTCTGATTGCGAGTCGAGCGCCCTTGCCACCTGGCCATGCCGGGCACACACAACTGTCTGCAGGTAATGGATATTATTTATCGATGTGGTAATTTGTGAACTTTATCACACATCTGCTTCTAATATGTACGTATTTAATTTTCACACATGAGGCCTTGCACATAGAAATTAAACCTGATGTGGTCTCTACTTATGTAGATATCCCTCAAAGGTATATATTACTCTTCTCGCAGTGTATATTGTGACCTATTTTATTTGTATGTATTTTATATGCGACGCTTTTTGCTTTGGTCTAATTGCATGAAAGGTTTTCTATATCATTCAATATAAGGAAATGTTATTTACGTACTCTTTTTATTTTTTATTTTATACATAAATTAGCCAGCAAAAATTAAATCGTTCTGATAATTTCGTATTAGGGAGTGTTTTTACCCTTTTTACGTAAAAAAATATAATACACACGAATTACGCCATAAGTCGAAAATCCCATATCTATCTAAAACAGTCATGTTATTTTAATTTCTTGGATCTTAAATGATGTTAAGAACGGTAGAATTTTGAATTTATTTTTGTTTAGTTTCGTTTAGCTAAATTTTTTCCTGCTAGACCAAAACTAGTGAGGAGGAGGAGGAGAATACTTTGTAGGAAGACGTCAACCCTTTCTGGAAGATTGAGCTGAAAATATATGCAAATCATAATCATGTGAAATAATTAAGATGTTTAAGGTTTAAGCTGAGTATTTTTAATCATCTAGTATACATAATGATAAAAATTAAACAGTTCATTTAGAAAACACAAATTCGTTATCCAAGTGAATACGCTGGCAATTATCAGTACCTTTAAAGTTATAGAGCGGAGTAATGTCAGAGGAGGTCTTGAAATGAAGCGATGCAAGTTGTATCTCTAATTACAAAAGACAAGTTTTACTCAATATGTATCCATCTCACGTATATTTTCAAGCGCAAACAACTCTTTTGTAAAACACATTCCTAATCTTATTAGAGTGAAATAGTATCTATATCGCATACTTGAACTCCCTATTCTCCTCCCCAAGTGACACAGCGTCAAATCTGAAGGTTTATAACGCTACAAACCGGGTTTAGATACCCGTGATACACAGAAAGCCTACTGTGTAGATTTGTGCTTAGCACCAGACAAACAAACCTTTATAAAAATATTATCATTTCAGGTACATTCTGTTGCTAAACCTTGCAAGTTTTTTCAGATTACCAAGATATTTGTTGAATACAACCAGATAGTTTTTATCAATCACTTTTGTCCAATCTTCGTTTCATGCTTGTTTATTTTCTACCCTTTTTTCTTGCATTTAACTATTTAATTTTTATAGTAATGTTTGTATATCATTTAATTTTGCTTTTACTCCTGATTAGATTTGCTACTTATTAAATATTGATGTACATTTTTCAACATCTGAGTGTTTTTTTTTTTCCATATGATGACCTGAATATGAGATGTGTCATAACGTTTCTAACTCGACCACTTACCTGGTCAGGTACATCGATGGTATTCTGGGTCTTTTTACTGGACACAAAGACGAACTCGATCTTTTCATTCATTATGCCAAATCTTACCACCCATCTCTTAAATTTACTTCTCTCTTCTTTTTTTTTTTTTGCCAGAAAGCTAGCTTTTTAGACATCATTAATAACATTTCCACATCTACATTTACTACCAGCGTACATTACAAACCCACTGACAGCCATTCGTATTTACAGTTTAGTTCTTTCCATCCCTCTGAGCACAAACACGCAATTCCTACGTTTGAGACGTCTGTGCTTCGACATTGCTGACTTCAGGTGTAAAACAAACGACATGACTCGTTATTTTAGACATCAGAACTATCCCGATAACACCATTTAAAAGGCCAAATTCCACATCCAGTTGATCACATTCTGACTATCTCCACTCTAAGGACAACCCACATGGTGACAGAGTTCCTTTAATCTTTACATAACATCTTCAACCAGACAGATTAGTAGAATTGTCCAACGTAACTTTACCTTACTAACAAGAGACAACACATCTAACGACATTTTTACCACCCCAGTCTTAATTTACTTCACACGTGAGAGGAATTTGAAAGACAGTCTAAAGACATTCCAAATTACAGACTGAAGTGTCTTTACTTACACAAACTAACAGAACTCGTCAGTGGACAAACTATTTCCCTCACATGCGATTATATCACCAACTTATCGACTCTCCCCAGTTCTACCTTTACCTTTCACATAAAAGACCAATTCACCTGTACATCAGAGTGCATTAGTTATTGTATTCGCTGTACTAGATGTAAACAACTCCATATCGGGGAAACTATAGGCAGATTAGGTAATAGATTCTGTGAACATCTCCGACTTGTACGTAATGGCACCCTCGACCACCCAGTCCCTAAACACTTCAACTCCACGGATCACAACGGAATTGACGACGTAATGTACTTGTTTTATTACATGCCCCCACAACAAGTATAATCGCGAAAGCCTAGAACATAAACATATATACAAATTAAAGTATAATGCACCACACGGAATTAATTAACGTTTTTTAAAGTGATTACAGTTTCCTTTCATATATCTTTGCCACTCCTGTTAACTTGACACCGCCTACTCATATTGCCATGATCATTATTATTAAACTACTAATTTTTTCATTTTTCGAATTTATGTTTATTACTTTTCTGTGTCCTTTTAATTCTATCACTTTAATACTTGTTTTCCATTTTTAAAACTGTTTATAGAACCGCTTTAATAATGTTCCTTCTACCAATATTTTTGTTAACGTGCTCCACGCAGTACGTACGTAATTTAGAATAGCGCTTCTCAACTGGGTGGATGGTTCACTCAGATGTTAATAAGATTAGAATCAGGGTGAATGGCAAGGTGAATTAGAGTTATCAATTATACAAATTCAAAAGCAAAAAAGTCATTAGTTATTATTATTTATTCTAGTTGTAGTTTGATGGCATATTTAAGTCACAGTAAAGAATTTTGCATTTTAATTTAGCAATTTTTGTCTTTTTTACGAACTGGGGGTGAGTGAGATGTTCTGAAAAACTTATAGGGGTAAATGATATGGGAAAAGGTTGACAAGCAGTGATTTAGAATCTCCTTATATTCTAACCCTTCAACGATTCTGTCTAAGCCTTTTTCTAAACTGCTTGACGAAGGGCTTCTGCCCGAAACGTTGCAAATACTAATAACGTTTTTGTTATAAACGTGCGTTTTGCCAATTTTGATTACTTTTTTTTTTCACTTACCCACTCACACGAGAGTTCATAAAATATGATATTGTTAGTTATTAAGCACAAAGCTACCCAAAAGGCTATCTGTGCTCTGCCCATCATGGGTGTCGAAATCTGGTTTCTAGCAGTATAAGTCCGCAGACATACCACTGTGTCACTGGATGGCTTCATAAAATATGTAAAATCTGAATGTTTTTAATCATTCTCTCTCTTTGCAAGGTCCAAAAATTAAGTTAGTTTTATGCATTTAGCATTGCTCAGTTAAGTCTTAGAACAACGAGGTTAGGGGTGAATCTTTGTATGAGAAAACTTTATTATTATTTTTTTTTGGAAGGATAATAACAATTGGTGAGTAAGTAGAATAGATTTGAAAGATAATGTTGTCTATATCGATCATAGTCTCAGCTAAGTTACTCCATAAAAAACAGTACATCTCATACTTTCTGTTTTATATTTAGTATCGATTTATTATACAGGACACAAACACAGCGATTCGAGATTTTTGGTGGTTTTGCCAAAATGTTAGAACAATATAATTGTGAATAAAGGGCATAGTGAACAATTCTGTACTCTTCAGTTTAACTAGGTAACAGTAGTTTATTTATAGCTGCAGCTGAGCGTCTCGTAAAACAGCTTTGAGTTTTTCTTTCTTTTTTATTTATTTCAAGTACAAACTTTCAGCTCATAATTCCATCATCTCTTCACCGATTTATCTAATTACAGTTTTGGACTCGGGAGGTCAAACCCTTTCGATTGATGTATTTGACCACGCCCAAGTTCTCATAGATTAATTTATTCTGATCCTGCCTAAAAGAATTTTAATTTGAGGGTAGGCTCGTAGAGGTCCTGATGAGTAATAAAATCGAACCGGTACATGCGCTCCTCACGCTTGGTGCTGGCACACAAAAATATAACTAATAAAAAGGGAAACAAAGATATCATAGATTAATTTACTCTAATCCTGTCTAAAAGAATTTCTTGTTTAAATTATCAACTGTTTCAGTTTCATTTAACATTTTGTTTCTGCTCTTCAAAGAAGTGCTGATTTGTTTTCAATATTGCTCAATAAATGTTTTTATATTTTGAAATTCGGTTAGTTTACTTTTTCTTTAGCATTTTGTATTATGATTGGTAAAGTATTTTGATTTATGACTTTTATACCAAATTGATTTTTAATTTGGACAATGTTACGCGTTTTTGGCTTCCTTACCCCCCTTTCTAACTTAGTAATGTAACATGTATATACGATTTGCTTCCTTACCCCCATTTCAACTTAGTGATGCCTATTTCTTTTTATTTTTTGTTTTACTGGGATTGGCCAATCACCATTTAGCAATAGCTAAATAAGGCGCATACTGCGCTTATATGTTTATATCTATGGGTTGGAAATTCAAAATATGTTGGTTGCGGTAAAATGATAGTGTAAGATGTTGTTTCTGTGTTTGTTTTATATGTAAATTTTGACTATTAAATTTTAATTAAACCTCACCTGATGCCTGTGTTATTAATACGTGAGTATAATTATGAACGTCGGCGATTTTCATACGTGACAACAATTATTCCTTTTTTTAGTATTGTCAGTTTTTTATGTATGTGTGAGCTGGATTCTTTACAGTAGGTGCTGTG